ATCGGGTTGTGGAACAAAAGGATCCCCATTGCTGGCCGTCAAAGTCCCCGCTGGAGAAAGAGAAAAGCCAGCAGTGTTATTCTGAGTATTTTTCTCAAACAAGCACTGAATTGCAGATAACCTTTGATGACAAAAACCCTATGCCAAGACTATCAGAAATAGAGAAGATAAGAGATCAAGCTCTGTACAGTTCCAGGGCACCGGTGAGATGTCAAGAGGACAAATGCGAAGTGGACCTGGTGAAGCTTTTGGCACCCTTAGAGGTATAATCTGGATCCTGAGACCTAATCAGCTGCCTGTGTTAAGTTTCCTCTCTCCTTTCCTTTCCCTGCTAGACTAGATTTTTTAAAATAATGATAAATGTGCTTGGCTTTTTGTTGTTCTGATAGGAAACAATGCTATCATTTTCTAGCGATTTACTGCATCTTTACTACAGATTATTAATCTTTCATTTTTAAATGTGTGAAATTAAACACACGAATGTAATGGTTATATGCTAGATCTATGGGATTATATTCTAAAAGATATGCCCATAAGAAAGCTAGAAAAGCCAAGCAATTAATTTTAATTTCTAACATGTTCTCTGGAAAAATTTCATCTTTGTCTTTTTCCCTCCTCTTTTATTAAATTGAATTTATTGGGGTGACATTGGTTAATAAAATTGTGCAGGTTTCAGGTGTATAATTCTATAATACATCATCTAGATATTGTATTGTGTTTTCCAAACCCCAAGTCAAGTCTCCTTCCATCACCATTTATCCCCGCTTTATCCTCTTCTACCTCCCCACCACCCCGCTCCCCCTCTGGTAATTACCATAGTACTGTTGTCTATGAGTTTGTTTTTTTTCTTAATCCCTTCACCTTCATACCTTTTTAATACCTTAATTGTCATCTAAAGTAAGCTTCAGACTTTCAAAATATATTACTTATTCCTGAATCATCTTTAGTTTGAAATTTTTCTTCTCTTTAGTTATCTCATCTTTGTTTTTCTAGGAATTATATTTGGATTGAGTAAAGTGACAGTGTTCTTTAGGTGACTTTTAACGACTTATAAATTCCTGTTACAGATAGCTAAGAACAAGCAGTATGATTTGCGTACAGAAGTCACAACATTAAAACAAGAAAAGAGCCCCGGTTCCAGTACTGAAGGATGGATGTTTGGACTCAAGAGAGGAGATTTTCTTAAGAGAGGCTTAGAACCAGAGACCTTCCAGAACGTTGATGGCGACCATTCATGTTCGGTTAGGGATGATGAATTTACATTCCAAGGGCTCCGGCACACTGTGACTGCCAGGCAGTTGGTTGAAGCTAAGCTTCTGGACATGAAAACAGTTGAGCAGCTGCGACTTGGTCTTAAGACTGTTGAAGACGTTCAGAAAACTCTTAGCAAGTTTTTGACGAAAGCCACCTCGATTGCAGGGCTTTATCTAGAATCCACAAAAGAAAAGATTTCATTTGCCTCCGCAGCCAAGAAAATCATAATAGACAAAATGATGGCTTTAGCATTTTTAGAAGCACAGGCTGCCACAGGTTTTATAATTGATCCCATTTCAGGTCAGACATATTCTGTTGACGATGCAATCCTTAAAGGAGTTATTGACCCCGAATTCAAAATTAGGCTCCTTGAGGCAGAGAAGGCAGCCCTGGGATATTCATATAATTCTAAGACGTTGTCAGTGTTTCAAGCGATGGAAAATAGAGTGCTTGACAGACAGAAAGGTAAACATATCTTAGAGGCCCAGATTGCCAGTGGGGGCATCATTGACCCAGTAAGAGGAGTGCGTGTCTCACCAGAAATTGCTCTGCAGCAAGGCTTGTTAAACAATGCCATCCTACAATTCTTACACGAGCCATCCAGCAACACACGAGTTTTTCCTAATCCCAATAACAAGCAAGCTCTGTATTATTCAGAGTTACTGCAGATGTGTGTATTTGATGTAGATTGCCAATGCCTTCTGTTTCCATTTGGGGAGAGGAACATTTCCAATCTCAATGTAGCAAAAACTCATAGGATTTCCGTAGTGGATATCAAGTCAGGAGCAGAACTGACTGCATATGAGGCTTTCCAGAGAAACCTAATAGAAAAAAGTACATACCTTGAGCTCTCAGGGCAGCAGTACCAGTGGAGGGAAGCCACGTTTTTTGAATCCTATGGGAATCCTTCTCATATGCTGGCTGATGCTAAAACAGGATTACAGTTCAATATTAATGAGGCTGTGGAACAGGGAACCCTTGACAAAGCCTTGGTCAAAAAGTATCAGGAAGGCCTCATCACACTCACAGAACTTGCTGATTCTTTGCTGAGCCGGTTAGTTCCCAAGAAGGATTTGCATAGTCCTATTGCAGGGTATTGGCTGACGTCTAGTGGAGAGAGGATCTCTGTCCTGAAGGCCTCCCGTAGAAATTTGATTGATCGGATTACGGCCCTCAGATGCCTTGAAGCCCAAGTCAGCACAGGGGGGATAATTGATCCTCTTACTGGCAAAAGGTACCGGGTGGGTGAAGCTTTGCATAGAGGCCTAGTTGATGAGGGGTTTGCCCAGCAGCTGCGACAGTGTGAGTTAGTCATCACGGGGATTAGCCATCCTGTCAAGAACAAAGCGATGTCAGTGGTGGATGCCGTGAATGCAAATATCATCAGTAAGGAAATGGGAATCCGATGTTTGGAGTTTCAGTACTTGACTGGGGGGTTGATAGAGCCACAGGGTCACTCCCGGTTGTCAATCGAAGAGGCTCTCCAAGTCGGAATTATCGATGTCTTCCTTGCCACAAACCTCAAAGATCAAAAGTCGTATGTCAGAAATATAATATGTCCCCAAACAAAAAGAAAGTTGACATATAAAGAAGCATTAGAAAAGGCTGATTTTGATTTCCACACAGGACTTAAACTCTTAGAAGTATCTGAACCCTTGATGACAGGGATTTCTAGCCTCTATTATTCGTCACAATAGAACAAGTTGAAATAACTTTGCACAGGAGTGATGCAGTCCAGTTCATGTGATCTGTCCAGAGCATGATTAAATCAGTTAAATATACAGTCTAGTAATTGTGTCACATACTCAAAACAACATTTATTTCTGGGGGGCTGGAAATAGCTGACGGTTCAGAAGAGAGACTAAATTGAAAATCACAAAAGATTTACTGCTCTCAAAAATGGTTTCATTTAACTTTGAGATGAGTTTTTTCAATCTTGCCCACACTGAAAATAAAAGTATTTTGCCTAGAATACAGCATAAGCTTAAAGTCCAACAAGTTCAGAGCATCCTTTCCTCAGAACTGCATCACGGAATGGATCCAGCCTGATGAATCCATTGAAGGATCCCGCACGCTCCCTGGAAGAGCTCTCCAGAAAGCACCGTGGAACCAAAGGGAGAGATGTACATTCTTCCCCAACATCCCTGTAGCGATAGTGTTTCAGATGGCCTTGAAAAATGAAAAAGTGTTTAGCTTTTCTGTATGTAGTAGCCTTCTTTACATATTAAACATTTACCACAATTTCCCATTTCTCGTTAGACTCTGTGATCACTGGATTGTGTGTTGGAAGAGGGGGAAAGACTTTTCTTCATTTTATGTGTTTTCCAAATGCGTGTACACATTCTCTATCTTTCGGCTGTCTGTTGTTTCCTACTTTTCTGCCAAGACAATTGTGTTTGTACTGCTAATGCAAAGGCAGCCACTCAGAGGTCTTCTAGTGCTTCATGAATAAAACCAAGTTTTTAAATTTGTCGTATTGAGAGACCAGCTGGGAGGGTAGACTGAACATTGAAGAATGTCACAGCTTTCTTTGCTGCCATAAACATTTTGGAAGTACATCTGCTATGTGACGTGATAATCATGGTTAAGTAAATGAATAAAAGGTCTCAGTAACCTGAGTGTGATGAAAACACATTTTTACACTTGTTTTCTATGGAGAGATGAGTTTCATAGCTCAGTCATTTACTAGAATATATCTTTTCTTACTACTCACACCTGCCAGAAGTCACTGGAAGAAGAAAAAAAAGAGCATGTTGAAAAAGCCAAAGAATTACAAAAATGGGTGTCAAATATCAGCAAGATGTTGAAAGATGGAGAGAAGGCTGGGAAGTCTCCCTTCTCTAAGCAAAAGGTATTCTCTGAGGTCCTGGTTAATAATAATAATAGTGGGTAGAATTTACTGACATGACAGTCCACCTAAAGAATGTGTAATTCTTTATCCCCCTCCTACCCCCCATTTTTATAGGTATTTATAATGAGGACCAGATAGGTTAAGTAACTTGCCCATTGAATCACAGTACGTGGCAGGCAGAAGAAGGTGTTTCTGATTCCAGAGCCTGAACTATATATATTAGTCTTATTAGTATCAGACGGATATGTTGTGCTGCTTTTCCTAATGGTTAGACCTGCTTCTTGATGACTGTGATGAGAATTGCCAAACAGCAGTAGAGGCATCCTGTTTTGTGCCCAGAGTAAATCCAGGCCCTCCGTATCACAAATGTAGGCCGTCTCATTCTTAACATATGTAAACAAAGCTTCACGAATTACAAAACAGAGAATTACAGAAATACAAACTAGGGTATTCACATTTTTGAGGTTTGAGTTTAGTTGTGCCTTTCTGGACCTTTTTTTTGTTTTATGAAGAAGTGTTCTCCCATCAATCACTGGAAATTCTAGATTCTTTCCCTTACCGAAATGAATTCTTTAGTTCTGTGGGCTATTTTCTGTACCCCAACTACTTGGCATTAGCAGGGTAGCTCCAGCTTCTGAGGTGCTAGTGCTCCATGGTGTCCATGGGACTGCCTCCACGTGAAGCTCTCAGGGCATTGGTCGTTAAGGTGTAAATTTCAGTATTGCTGCTGCTGGTGGTGACAGCACTGGAACTGCAGCTGTGTTTTTAAAATGTGTATGCTAAATTAAGCATCACTTTTTTTTGGAAAAACTTGTCCTACCCTGCTCCTGCCTGACGTTTGGAAACTTTAGGGGCTATTAGCTATCATTAGTGTTCCCCGCTAGCTCCGCATCAGAACTCGACCTCAGCTGACATTGTTGCCATAAGTGAGCAGGGGGAACTTCAGTGTCTTGTCTAATTATCCCTACGGCTTGAGGCAGATGTACTTTATCCGGGGCTCCCCTTGAAGTTTTTAAGTCTGCGTATATACTTTGATTATTCAATGAAATAAAGCCATTTTCGCTCATAATCTTGCTATTATATTTCATATGGTGTGGAAGGAACAAGAAACTGTAAAGCAACTACATTAAATGTTTTAAATGCAAAACCTTCAAAATAATATTATGCATATATTTAGTTTAAAATGTCTTCTTTTCTTCCCCTCTTGTCAATAAGAAAAGAACTAAAATAGGGACAAGAGCTTAGCAAAAATGTCTTAGGACAATAGTTTCTTTTGAGAAACGTGGATTATAAACCATTGGTATTTTCACATTCTGTAGTTTTCAATTGTCCAAAATTTTACTAGGCCTGTTTTAGACCTACTGGACATAAAAGGTAGACACATACTTTTTTTTTTTTTTAATGCAGACTGTGGCCTAAATTATAAATCTCTAATAACACTTGATAAAAGAATTTAAGGCAATTTGATGTGAATAATAAATGTCTTTCAAAATATCAATATGGCCCCATTATTACCTGCAACCATGAAAAATAGACTTGAAATTGATTGTAAGTCAAATACATCAAGGGGAATGAGACCTTTTCATTGGTCCATCATTCTCATTTCTGATCATTTAAAAGAATGGCAATTCATTTCTGATATTAGGTATTCAGAAATGATACACTAGAAATTAGGAGAAAGTGTTGCTTATTATCCTCAGAGAGATCAATTTTATGGCTCTGACCATCACAGGCAACTTTCTCAAGTGAAAGTCTTAGCAATAAAAATTATTTACTCTTGGTGTGCAGACATACAGATTAAACTGTCACGATAATTTTTTTCAAAAGGGGCATGTTATCCAGGAGTGTGGGGGAAGGAAGGTACTCGTTGGGAGTAGTGTTCTTCATTCATGTATGTTTTGGGCACAAGGAGCAAGCACATTGGGCCGGTGCTGAACCTCTGGGATAAGGCAGCCTGATTCATGGTTGCATGGGACAAATGCAGAAACCATATAATGCTGTATTATTATTTCCTTATGAAATAATAAGGCTTTTCTTAATTATGCATTCTAAATATAAAGCACTCCTCTTATCCAGGCCCATAGACTGATAATAAGTAATGAGTTATTGACTTGGGTCCCTCAGAAAATAGACATCATTTGGGTCTTGAGGAGACTTGAGTCATTTTTAAAAATTACTGTTGGTTAGTCTCTATGAGGGCAGAATATGAATGCATTTTCATTACCTTGCAGATTTCCAGTGAAGAAATATTAACCAAGAAGGAACAATTATCAGAGGCACTTCAAACCATGCAGATATTTTTGGCTAAACATGGAGACAAGTATGTTGGTTTTCATGAACCTTTTTTTTTTGATGTAGGAAAGTGGTCTGAAAAACGTTAGGCAAATAGAAGATGGTAAATTTTAGCTGAGATTTTAAAAATGGAACTCAATCACAAATTTACTTAGTAATGTAGTTTACTAAGAAATTATAAATTTACATGAGATTATAAATTTAGCAATTTAAGTAATTGACATTTTTAGTCACTTTAACCTGTCTTTACCCAAAGCCTGAAAGGTACTTATTATCCCCATATATTATTGTTAAGAAAACAAGTTCAGAGAGGTTAAGGATCAGTAGCTAGTGAGTTGTGAAGACTCCAAACCAAGTCTTAATATAAGTAGTACTGTCCGAGACTTACCTTTTGGAAAATGTGTGTAAATAAATTCTCCATTTTCTTAACTGAGATCTCTGGCAACCTGATTTCTCATATTTTGGTCCTACTTTTTGCAACAAGGCATTTTATATATTTCAGCTCATGCCTCAAACAGGGAAGGAATCTACCCTTTTCTTAAACCCATTTCGACTGACCACTTTAAGATTATTCCAGAATGATTTTATATTGTACCTCAGAGAATAATGTTATTTTCTCTTTACTCATCCTTCAGCTTCAAGAAGTTTCATCTTATTGTCCCTTTCCCATGTTGGGACTAACAATACTAATGTTCCTTGTGTATATGCTAGAGAGGTGCTGCTATATTAATTCGTACCCTTTCCTTCAGTCCCCATTTTTAGGCAACAGACGGATTCCTAGATGTGTTTAGCACCACCCTTAATTTCCATATGCAATCATTCTAAGACCCGATCAGTCCGTATATGAGATATTTTACTTTATGATTGTATACTTATTTAGAAAAGTACTTTATAAAATCATCGAGCCTAATATATCATCTTTATTGCTTGAGGACTTGCACACTTCATTTCATACTTTCTGGTTATTTTAGATTGACAGATGAAGAAAGAAATGAACTGGAAAAACAAATGAAAACTCTCCAAGAAAGTTATAATTTATTCTTTAGTGACTCTCTGAAACAACTACAAGAACCACAAACCACCGGAGATGTAAAGGTAGAGGAGAAGGTAATATTATTAAAACATGAAGCTATTTCAAGGTTCTTAGTTTTACTGCATGATTCTATAAATGTCAATGGTAAAGAAATGACGTTGAAATGTGTACATGGCAAAACATGGAGTTCATGTAAGTATTTGGAGATTTCAGTGTTATTAATTGCAATCTTACACTTGCTGTCATCAGTTTATGTGACATCTTAATCTGCACCTTGCATGATAAAAGGAAAGAATCATTCATTTTTCTAACTCTTCTCTTTAGAAGCCATTCTTCTGCTGCATTAGGTATTTTGCTATATGAATATAATGTTATAAAATAGCTTCTGAGTCATGTCTAAAGGTGACGTTGAAGTGTCATGGGGTTTGTTTGATTTTTAGAAATATCCATAAGATTTATTTGAATAAAATTGGAACATATTTATACTGAAGATATCCTAGCATCTTCTTAAAATCTAACAGAAATCACTTAAAATTTAGCCTCTCCTTAAGATTTTAAAACTTTACAATACATATTCACAATATTCAGGATTCAAAAAGTTATCTCTGTATTCAATTCCCTTACTCCCTGAAGTACTTTACACACTATTTTTTATATTTTGGGGTTATGTAACAGTTTTTCTGGTTTATTATTTTTTACTAGAAAGAAGTTTGTATGCTGTAAACATCAATAGCATGGGGTTTGGTATTCTCTTTCCTGTTAGTAAACTAATCTCACCCAATTGCAGAAAGCATGGTTTGCCTTCTAGGTATGTGTTCTGTTTTCTCACTGTCGTCATTTACTCTGTTGTGTCTTCACTAACCTTGTTAATGTACACAATATTAAGTTTTCAATTCACAGATGCATGTTGTTTTCAAAGCTTTTATCATATCCTGTGCTGTTGAATAGATCACTGACATAGATCACTTGTGCATTTGAGCTGCCTAACATTCACAGCATTGCCACGCCTTGGTAAGTAGAGGATTTTTATGTTGAAGTGTATTATTTATTTTTTTAAAAATGCATATGAAGTTTTGTGAAACCCTGCCTACCCTTGAATCACAGACTGATCTGAGAATTTTGTATTTTCCTTTCAGCTGGATAAAGTGATTGCAGGCACCATTGACCAGACAACTGGAGAAATCCTTTCCGTCTTTCAGGCAGTTTTAAAAGGCCTTATCGACTATGACACAGGAATAAGGTTGCTTGAAACACAGCTAATGATTTCCGGTCTAATTTCACCAGAATTAAGGCAATGCTTTGACCTCAGAGGTGCCAAAAGTCAAGGCCTCATTGATGAACAAGTTCTGTGCCAACTCAAAGAACTGAATCAAGCAAAGGAGATTATTTCTGCTGTGCCTTCCACCACAATTCCAGTGCTGGATGCTCTGGCTCAAGGCATGATATCAGAGTCCATGGCCATCAGAGTTCTTGAGATACTGCTGTCCACAGGCTCACTAGTCATTCCAGTCACAGGGGAGCAGTTGACCATCCAGAAGGCTTTCCAACAGAACATGGTTTCCTCAGCATTATTTTCTAAAGTCTTGGAAAGGCAAAAGATGTGCAAAGATCTTATCGATCCATGTACCTCTGAGAAGGTGTCTTTAGTAGAAATTATGGAAAGAAGTATTTTACAGGAAAACACTGGGTTGCGGCTTCTACCTGTGAGGCCACAAGAAGGAGGCAGAATAACTTTAAAATGTGGAAGGAGCATTAGCATTTTAAGGGCAGCTCATGAAGGTCTCATAGACCGTGAAACCATGTTTCGGTTGTTGGGTGCACAGCTTTTTTCTGGAGGTCTGATCAATTGCAACTCTGGTGAAAGAATGACTGTTGAAGAAGCTGTGGCAGATGGGGTGATTGACAGAGATACTGCTAACAGCATTCTAACATACCAGGTTCAAACAGGGGGGATCATCCACTCAAACCCTGCCAAACGTCTAACTGTAGATGAAGCAGTCCAGTGTGATTTAATAACTTCGAGCAGTGCTCTTTTGGTCCTCGAGGCTCAGCGAGGCTACGTTGGACTCATTTGGCCTCACTCTGGTGAAATATTTCCCGCGTCTTCTTCCCTGCAGCAGAAGTTGATTACAAATGAATTGGCATACAAAATCCTGAATGGTAGGCAGAAAATAGCTGCTCTTTATATTCCAGAAACTTCTCAAGTCATCGGTTTAGATGTGGCGCAGCAGTTAGGAATTATAGATAATAACACAACATTGATTTTAAAAAGTATAATACTGCCCGATAAAATGCCAGATTTGGGAGATTTAGAAGCCTGTAAGAATGCCAGAAGGTGGCTCTCTTTTTGTAAATTCCAACCCTCTATAGTCCATGATTACAGGCAAGAAGAAGATAGTTTTGATGGAGAAGAACCAGTGGCAACTCAGAGTTCAGAACAGACTAAAAAAATGTTCCTGTCTTACTTGATGATTAATAGCTACATGGATGCAAACACAGGGCAGAGGCTGTTGCTGTATGATGGAGACTTGAATGAGGCTGTTGGTATGCTACTAGAAGGCTGTAGTACAGAATGTGATGAAGATACACCCATAAAAGAATGTATTGATGCCTTAAGACTCCCTGGCGTATTTCTGAATAATGCCCCAAGTAAAGAAATGGATGAAAGTATAACTTCACCAAGTAGTTTTGACAAATGCCATTGCAGAGAACCTAAACCTAAAGAAATTCCTGAAAATAGAAAGCATGCCGTAGAAGAAGAGTTTAATGAAATGGGAACTAATGTGCTCAGTGAATTTTGTCAGTCGGAAAACCCGATACATATCATGGTAGCAGATCATAAAGTTAAGAATTCATCTAGTGTGAATGTTCTCAGTTCTGCATCCTGTTTTACACAGTCTGGACTTGCAGACTCTGAAAATATACCTAAAAACCGTGAAAGTCAAAGTCAAGTTGAAAAAAATGAACATGCAGCTGAATGCAGTCATTCTAAAAATATGCAAAACCTTGAAAGTGATTTGACAACAAATTCCATAGTGAAATCAAAAACTATTAGCATCTGTAACTTGAAAGAAACAGAGACTGAAGGTAATATAGATAAGGAGTCACCTGTCTTTGACTACTCCCCCAGGCTGAGTGCCTTATTAAGTCATGATAAATTGAGGAATGATTGGGGAAGTTTTAATGATTTACACGCCGCAGAGAACAATGGAAATAAATGGGAAGCCTCTACAGTGCCATCCAATGACCAGTCCACATTATTGGGTCCAAGGATGGGAGAAAAACCTCAAGACCAGTTTCTAGGAATCGCAGCTATTAACGTTAGTTTGAAGGGAGAACACTGTGGACAAAAATCTTTAAATGCTGCTCATAGTGATCTGCAGGTACAATATCACAGTGACAAAGCTATTTCAGATACTAGTGGGGAAGATGAAAAAATACATGCTGCTTCTCAACAGAAACCTGAAGACATGCAAAATGAGTCCACAGCGGAGGAGTACTCCTGCGCTGCCGTAACACCAACAGCTGACCCTGATAATGCCAGTGCATCTCATGTTTATGGCACATCATCGCTTGAAGAAACTGCTGGTGCTGGTGACTATGAAATGTCACTACCGGATGATCAGCAGAGGGACACCGAAACAGACACTGATAGCGACGATGATTTTTATGATACTCCCTTGTTTGAAGACGATGACCATGATTCTCTGCTTCTTGCAAGTGATGATTGTGATTGTCTGCAACCCGAGGACTATGACACTCTGCAAGAGGAAAATGATGGGGCTGTCTGTCCTGGCAGTGTTTTTTATGATGTTCCCAGAGAGGATGAAAAGCCTATGGTGATTCAGGGGGCACTAGTTGATAGCTTAAGAGTGAGGGGGAAAGCCCAGTCTTTTCAGGATTGTCTCATAGGTATAGAGAAAGCTGAATTAGATTCTGATGAAAGAATACCTTTAAATTCAGTCGGCTCATCTAAGATCAACGAACAGTTCTTGGAAACTGAATCAGAAAGGGAAAGTACAGATAATCTAGAAGGTGATGAGTCTGACTTATTGACTGATTCTAAAATAGTAGGAAGGGAAGATAGCTTCAGTGCTTCATTAAAATTTGATGACACTGGCTGTTGGGGAGGGAGAAAAGAAGAAGGGTATGTAACTGGACAAGAATTGAAATCTGATACTGATCATTTTGATTCTATGCAATATGAAGAAAGTTATGGGGATTATTTGTGTGACAGTAGTGGTCAGGATGATGACGATGATGATGATGAGGATGATGATGAGGATGATGGCGATGAAGAAGAAGGAGTGGGAGATGAGAAGGAAAAGACCATGTACCAAGATGAGGCTGATGGGATGGATATCCAGTTGTGTGCTGCCACTATGAAAGAAAGGGAAAACAGCCATGAAAATCAAAGTATTAATGAAATGATTCTCCTGAGTAAAAAGCAAAATTGTAGTTCTCTAGAAAGACAGCAAAGTGTAAATGTTTTACAGCGAGAACCAAGTAGTAGAAGTAGCTTAGTTACTGAAAGAGGCAACCTTCCAGAATACACAACTGAGGTGGTTGGAAGAAGCAAAGAAAATCTGTTGAGTCCTGAGATGGCCGTTAAGGACATATTGCTGCCTACCGTTAAAGACACCGAATCAGAACCCACCTTTGGCCCTGGAGGTATTTTACATAACACTGATATTCATTCACCTTCTGATCAAATCATTGGCTCTGAGACTGTTTTAATAGGAAAACCTGCTGAGGAAAGCCATTTGTCATCTGTGGACTCTGTAACTGATAAAGATCATCAAGGAAATGGAAGAGATGTAATGAAAAAGAGAGATGACAAAAGCAATGTACTAACAGAAGATGAAACATCCATTCATAAAATGTTCCCAGGTAAAGGAGAAGGGCTTATGGAAGGTCAAGTAGAAGATGACAAACATCTCAAACTTTTGTCTAGTAAAAGTACAAGGGAGAGTCTTGATTTAGTTACTCAGTTTCCGTTTCCACAGATCACAACCAATGAAGGACATAATCATAAAGGAAGCCTCAAAAAAACAACTGTAGCTCTTAAAGATGA